TCCGCCATTTCATTTCTTATCGATACAGGAGCCGACGTTTCCGTCCTACCTCGCCGTTTTACCGCAAATACACCGGCGTCGACGGTTAAGCTTTACGCAGCAAACGGCACGACCATTTCGACGTTCGGACATCTACGCTTAAGCCTCGACCTCGGCCTACGAAGACGATTCGACTGGACGTTTACGATTGCCGACGTACAGACTCCAATCATAGGCGCAGACTTTATACAGCATTATGGACTGCTCATCGATTTAAAAAACAATAAACTCATCGACAGCGTGACAAATGCAAAGGCAAAAAGCCGCGTTCTAACGGTAAGCAAGATCGCCATACGAACGTTCAGCAGCGAAACAAAGTGCGCCGATTTACTGGCAGAGTTTCACGACATTACGCGCTTACCAGCCATGCGAACGCACAGCACCTTTGCTACACAGCATCGAATCGAGACGACCGGACAACCCGTGTTCGCCCGTCCACGCCGATTGGAGCCAGCGAAGCTGAAAATAGCCAAAGACGAGTTTGAATTTCTTTTGCGGCAGGGCATTATTCGCCCATCTTGCAGCAACTATGCAAGCCCACTGCATATGGTGAAAAAGGCCGACGGCAAATGGCGGCCGTGCGGCGATTACAGGAGGCTCAATTCGCAAACAACGCCCGACCGATACCCGATACCTTACCTGCAAGATTGCACATCGATGCTGGACGGGAAACAAATTTTTAGCAAAATAGATCTGCAGAAAGCATACCACCAGCTTCCGGTTCATCCAGACGACGTTCATAAAACGGCCATAACGACACCGTTTGGCCTACACGAATACTTGTATATGCCTTTCGGCTTACGAAACGCAGCACAATCCTTCCAGAGGTTGATCCACGAAACTCTTCGAGGGTTACATTTCGTGTTCGCGTATATCGATGACATACTAATCGCGTCACGAGACTACGAAGAACATCGCAGCCACCTACGTCAAGTTTTTACCCGCCTCAGAGAATACGGTCTCACCATCAACCCCGCCAAATGTGAGTTTTGCGTGAAGGAAATCAGATTCCTAGGGCATTTAATTACTCAGTCTGGCATCCAACCTTTGCCGGAAAGGGTCGAAGCAATCAGAAAATTCGAAAAACCAACCGCAGCGTACCAGCTTAAAAAGTTTCTAGCTACAGTTAATTTTTACCACAAGTTTTTGCCTCACGCAGCTGAGTACCAAAAGAAGCTGACAGCGATGATTCCTGGAAACAAGCGAAACGACAAAAGAAGCTTAGTATGGAATGATGAGCAAAGTTTCGCATTTGAGAAATGTAAGTCAGAACTTGCAAACGCCGCTATATTGGCTCATCCTCGTCAAAACGCTCCTCTGTCATTGGTTACCGACGCCTCGGACGTTGCAGTTGGAGCCGTGTTGAATCAGCTGGTGAAAAAAGACGCACAGCCCCTTGGCTACTTCTCCAAAAAACTGACCGCAACGGAGCAGAGGTATAGCACCTATGACAGGGAGCTCCTTGCTATATACAAAGCTGTCAAGCATTTTAGATATATGCTGGAAGGCCGAACATTTTTCATAATGACCGACCACAAGCCGCTTATATTCGCTTACCAGCAAAATAGCGAAAAGGCGACACCGCGTCAACGTCGACATTTGGACTTTATTAGCCAGTATACAACAGACCTCCGATATATACAGGGAGCAAACAACCACACGGCAGACTTGCTATCCAGAGTAAACGAAATTACGCCCCCGATAGACTTCAGCGAAATAGCGAGAGCGCAGAAAAACGACGCCGAACTAAAGGAATTAATGGTAGGTAATACAACCTCACTAAAGTTCAAGCTTCTTAAGATTCCAGACGAGCCAAGCGAAATATGGTGCGATGTTTCATCTAAAAAGGTCGCCCGTTCATCCCCAAGCAGTTCCGGACACAAGTTTTAAGCAACGTTCACAACATGGCACACCCAGGTTCCAAAACCACCGTCAAATTGGTTTCCGATAGCTTTATCTGGCCGAATATTCGAAAAGACGCTGCGCTCTTCGCACGACGCTGCCTCCAATGTCAGAGATCGAAGGTAATCCGCCATAATAAGTCGCCAGTCCAACAGTACACACCGCCCAATCGACGCTTCGATCACATCAACGTCGACATCATCGGCCCTTTACCTCCTCACAATGGGCAACGTTATTGTTTAACGCTAATCGACCGCTTTACGCGTTGGCCAGAAGCGACTCCAATTCCGGACATATCAGCAGAATCGGTGGCAAAAACCTTGGTAGCGACGTGGATATCACGATATGGCTGTCCGCAATACATCACGACCGATCAAGGGCGCCAATTTGAGTCGTACTTGCTAAAGGAGCTGTTCAAAATACTCGGCACCAAACACGTAAGAACAACGCCTTACCACCCGCAATCGAACGGGATAATAGAGCGGTGGCATAGGACACTAAAAGCGTCAATTTTAGCAGCCGGAAAAGATACATGGACCGACAATTTACCACTAGTACTTCTTGGTTTGAGGACAGCGTACAAGCCCGATCTAAAATCGTCACCAGCGGAACTATTGTACGGCACAACGCTAAGAATACCAGGCGAATTCGTTGAGGCAGCCCGCTCCGAACAAACACCCTACGAATTCCTTCAAAATTTACGAGAAATAATGGAAAAACTGCGACCGACTCAAACTAAGTACCACACCACCTTAACCAGCTACATTCATACGGACTTAGGAAAATGTTCACATGTTTTGGTTCGCAACGACCGTATACGCCCATCACTTACGCCAGCTTATGAAGGGCCGTTCGAAGTAAAACAACGACATACAAAGTTTTTCACACTGTTAATAGGAGAGCGACAAGTAAACGTCAGCATCGATCGACTAAAACCAGCGTACCTTTGGGGAGACGAAGGAAGGGCAGAGTGCGCGCCAGCGCCGCGACAAACAACAGAAGAACAACAATCGAGACCGAAACGCAAGATACGAAAACCCGTACGATTTCAGTAGAAGGGGAGTACTGTGGTGCTTTCAGCATCACAACACGCGACATACATATGTACAGAAGTATGCAATTTGCATTTAATATTATTTTAACAATATGGCCACACTTAGCATTAATTTGTAGTATTAATAATTTTCTGTTATCCCGTTGACTGGAAATAAATGACGATGAACAACTGTTGTTATTGCACTGTCCCGCAATCACATCTTTTCGTTTTCATGGGAAACCGAAAGGTGTAGGCGCGCACAGGCATAGCAGTATAGTTCAGTTCTCATACGAATATAGAGAAGGTGACACGTCGTTTTAATAAGCAGCTTCAGCGATTTCCCAAATAATTATGGTTATGTCACCACTAGTTTAAGCTTAAGTCTTGAAACTTAATTCTGGTAACAGTTGCTCAGTTGCTGTCACGAGAGCGTTCCCAGATACAGAATTTTTGGCGTACGGGAACGACTTTGGACTAAACCTGCAACTCGTGCTGGAACGCACTAAATGACTGCTTAGAAATCCATGCTTTGCAATTCTTGTTACGAGTTTGTGGCGGCGTGCACGGTGATGATGAAACAAGGAGCTGTATAAGCTTAACAATGACATCGGCACAGTGCAGAAAATTATGACGCGGCGGCTATGCTGTCTAGGCCTAGTCCCACGAATGATTGTATCCGCTGGTTAGGGCTGCCAGATTTTTTATGCGCGAAATCAGTAGATACATTAGACTTTTTCATGCTAAAAAAATCGGTACATTTTTATTCAAGGGAAATTATGAATGTAAGTAACAGAAAATAACTTTAAACGCCTGAGTTCTTGTTTTTAACAATATTTTGGTATATAAATAAAATATAGTTCATAAAAAATAAAAGTGTTATTCATTTTAACATGAGTGTACACATCATGATTCACAGGAGCCAATAAGTTATTTTATATTTGTGACCAAACCAATTTTTTTAAGAGATTGAGTCATAGGTAAAAAGGTAATTTCTCCGTTTTTCGAAGTTAGCCTCCGAAATCGAGATATGGGCCTTCGAAGTTCGAAATTGGACCTTTGGTAAAAAATTATTTTATTTAAACGACGAATTTGAAGTTTACTTTCAAAATTTTTAATTAGAAGCCGGTTTCTCTCTTTGCGCCAGGAAACAAACTTTATTCTTAAGATCCTCTCATACTGTAAAAAAAGTACCACTTTTTAAGGAGTTCATCTATATTTCCTCATGGCCTAAATAATTTTTCAACTACACAAAAACTGTGAAAGACTAAGAATTCGCTAAAAAGAGTATCTAACTCTATGCCTTATATGCCAAACTATTTTACAGAGTCAGTAAATTTAGAAAAAGGAGTTGTAAGTTATAGGCAAAAGCCATTCGAATATTGAAATGTATTGTTATTAAACTGAACGTTATTTTCGAGGTAACTAACAACACTCGACAAAAATTTAAGCCTTCTTTTTAAATAATTTAAGCTCCATCATATTATCGCAACTGGTAAGTAACGCCCCGGCGATATGCCCATAAAACGATTGATCTTTTTGTTGTATTAATTTCTTGGGCATATCAAACATTATCTAAAACATGTCAACTATAATTAAATTATATTCTTCTTATTTTTTACAGTACAGTTTAAGGAAGTTCCAACGTTATGTAAAAACCTTAAGAAAATACTAAAGTATTTTGTTTGAATAGAAAATTTAGTACAAATCAGTAAAAATTTTGAAAAATCAGGACATTAGCGTACTGATTGAATAAATGAATAAAATCAGTACAAGGGTTGAAAAATCAGTACTGTACTCATATAATCAGTACGTCTGGCAACCGTACCGTTGGTGATAGCAAAGGAAGAGGAAGGCCTCCACTGCGTTTGAAAACCATGTACAGACGAACTAATTGGCCTCGTTTTCTAAATTGTCTAAAATCCTAAATGGTTAGCAGAAGAACAAGAAACGACTGGCGTGCTTTGTTGAACTCGGTCAAAATCGCTTGTGCGGTTATAGGGCCAATGAAGAACAAAAACAGGAATACTTAACTAAAAAGTATACAATTCTAAATTTATTTATTCTTTCCTAAGTAGGAATATAGCGCATGTAAAATCTCAGAAAATCGTAACATTTGTACAATTTTTGGTTCAGCTTATCTCCAGGCATTCCATTGTGCATTGGCATATTAAATAACAAAATTACAATTTTTTTGCATAAATAATTTAAAAATACGTTACTTACGATTCCATAGAACCTATAAACACGGATTTTTTGTTGTGGTTTCAAAATAATTTAATATTCACTTAAGATTAGTAGTACAAAAGAATATATGTGTGTTGAATGTAAGTATGCATGTCAAAGTTTATACAAAGAGAAAAATTCATACAATTACAAAGCACCAAAGGCCGGTTACGCAATGTCTGGTTAACGCTAACTACAGCTTAAACACCGTTTCCGACATTATCGACTCCCTGGCGATCACGTCGATAAAATAGTTTAACCTGCAGTTAGGGTTAACCAGACATTGAGTTACCGGCCCTAATTGTTAATACAATTAAAAAGCATTCAATTTGCTTGCATTAAGCTTGGCTCAGAAAGGCACATCGCTTTGGCAAATTTGAGGGTGAGTCAGCTCATGCGCGTATGCGGGACGCCTTCTTGCTTTTATCAGCCTTTGGTGGTGGCGGTCCACGGTCACTTTTTATGTGGCGATTATAGAGTCTGAAGAGAAAAAAAACAAATAAAAAATACATATGTAAGCTCAACACTCACATCACGCTATAATAAATTTAACTCACATTTTGTACGTCTCAGTTTTTATATACTCGATGACGTGACTAATGCCCAGCAAATATTGCTCCTGTATCGGCACCACCCATGGATTTTCCTCCATCTTCATCACCGACTTGCTGCCCAACAAATCGAGATTACCCACTTCGGGTGGCAAAACCTGGAGGCGGTTGTTTTGTATGTGCAGCTCCCGCAGACGAGTCAACTCGCCAATTTCACGCGGCAAATCGAGCAAATCATTGTCACGTAATCCGAGTATTTGCAAATTTTTTAAATTTCCCAATTCTTTTGGGATATGCTCGAAATCATTGTCGCCCAAGTAGAGTGCTCGAAGTGTTTCGATCATGAAGAAGTTACCGGGCAGCACGTTTTCATTGAGATTATTGTAGGAGAGGTCGAGCACCTCCAATACCGGAAATGCACCGAATCCACGTGGCAGGCTATCTAAACGATTCAGCGAAACATTCAGGATACGCAGTTTAGGCATTGATGAAAGCGAAACTGGCAGTTCACGTAAACCATTGTTGGATAGATTTAATATCTCCAAGTTGAGCAGGTTGGCTATACCCGGACTGATCATGGTTATCTTGTTATGACTCAAAGTGAGCCGTGTGATGTAGGACATGTTGACTGTAAAAAATAAACAATTTTAGTTTGTTGTATACATAAATACATGCGTTCTGCAATTGAATATAGGGTTGAAATTATACAAAATACTCTCAAGAAGGTTCTCTTTTTTCTCTATATTTTTCGTGTGTTTAGTTTGTTCTTTCTGAGGTAAGTAAGTTAAGTTTATAAGAGTGATTGTTACTATTATTACTATATTGCTGTAATTGCTAAGTAGTATTTGTACAGATGCTTAGGTCTATAGTAGGATATCCTCAGCTTATTCGCAGTGAATTGAAGAATGAAAATTGAAGAGAGTTTAGTCGCATTTACATATTTCAGAGCAATGAACAGGAAATGTTTCAACATAATATGATCCACTTTTTCAAATTGTTATTGAGTTCTTAGCATCTTTTAGTTATCGCCCTTTCTAGTGCCGTCTATGGTCAATTTGCAGAACATCGGAATATAGTATTTACAGGCTAACCTAATATTCGCGGCTTGCGTTTTGGTACGCATGCCGTCGAATTTGTTTTTTTGCGTCACCCGAAATTGACTTGCATGCGTTTGCATTTGATTTCATTGAGCGAAACGTCAAATCAAAATGTCACGCAGAACAAAAATTGGAAATTGAGTTAGCTTCATACGCACGCCGTTCAATTTCGGTTGGTCCCATACAAGTTGTATGTGCATGAGAAATTTTTGACAGTAAATTGGCGGCGTGCGTGAATATTAGGTTAGCCTGTTAAACTGTGCATCTGTGCATTTTCAGTCTCTCTCAAAATTCAAAGGTGATAGAAGATATGTCAATCTGATCTATCGATTCATTGCCATTACGACTTTCAAGTAGCAACTGAGCCAGCCCGATACTCTTCAGAGCCTGCCCTGATCGCTAGAGAGTACCTATCCAAGAATATATTTTTTTAACGTATCCATACATATATGTACGTATGTATGGACGTACATATACTATGTACATCGCAAGAAGATTTTTCGTAGATGGCGTAGTGCATACACGCTGGAGTTATACAGCTATGCTTTAATCGATCACTCTTTGAAGTTCTCCAACATCTTATTGTTGCTGTTTTACTCTTTCGGCTTTGAGGATAGTTGGCATGGCATATTTATGGCATTCATTCTAGAGGTTGCATCAAATCAAGTAGGATAAGTCGTAAGAGTCAAGTTTTGTTGGCTTCCTGACCAATACATACGATAGAGGCTTGTGGCCGGCACTTATGATGAACTTAATTTCCTCCAGAATGTGGCGAACAAATTTTATAGCCAACAGTTCCCTGTCATATGTGCTGTACTTCACGTGACTGCTTCATTCGAAACACACTACGATGATCAATCATGGTTTGTGGTTTGAAGAATGATAAGCTTCAAATCAGTTTGAGTTTGTTATCTCTCAGAGCTCAGAAAATGAGTTCGAACTGCTGAAGAAAATCCTCATTGGTCGTAGAGGTGACTATGAGATGATCAATGAAACAGCCGATGAAGGTAAACCCGCAGAAAATGTCGTCCAGAAGAAAATAATTTTTTTCTTGTTGATGTATATACAGAAAGTGAAATATGTACATATTTGCAAAATTTGTTAGACATTATGGGAACTTGTCGATTAATCAATAAATAGCTCCGAAATTACTAAGCTGCAGATCTCAAAAAAACTTGGCTTCATCTCAAAAATGGTTCTAATTTTTTATACTACTTAAACAAAGTGCAGTTTAATATTAAAAAAAAAGTATTTACTTAATAAAAAAAACCAAACCTTCTTTTTGGTTTTTTGTGTTTCCGACAGGGTAAGAGTATGATGTATTGTGGAACGATTTTCCGTCATCCCTTGTCAAATTTGGTTTGGAGACAAACCGGTTTCGGCGTTGTGCCATCTTCATATCCATATTTAACGAATCTTTAAATCAACAAATAATTTTTTCCTGATTAGGATAGGAATAGGATTAAAGTAATTGGCACGTAGTCATGGGCGAAATAAAGTCCACTGAAAAGTTAGTTGCAGTTATTTTGTACAGGCATCCCATTGGTAGAGCGCTTCGGGTGTACGAATTTGTTGTAACATCATTAGTTGAAGACTTGCTCTAGCTGCTAGTCTCTTAAAATTTCTTCCAATAACGTCGTAAGCAGATTTCCCATGTGAACTTGCAACATAGCTCAATTCTCCATTTCCTTGAAGGAATTTTCATTATTTCAGGCCTTTAGTAAAGTTAATATGATTTATTCGTATTGTTTTTGCTTTTTACACACCTTTCCTCTTTCAAAAATATACAATTTCATAAAATTTCAATGTCTATTTATCATATCCAAACCAATAAGTAGCTTATTACGCCCATTTGGGTACTTAAAGTTGACATTATAGACAATGTTTTTATGTAAAAAGAAAAAATTTTTAAAAATGCTATAATCAAAAAAAAAATAAAAATAAAATGTTTGCTTAATTTAATTTTGTTTTTTATACGTTGCACATTAATGTAAAAAATGTACAGTTAAAGCCCATAATAAGACGGAATAAATACATTTTAGTTTCATTAAGTTGCGTTAAAAGGTTTCCAATATACAGCACTTTAAAGAAAGGTATGTATGACATTTTATTAGAATTTAAGTCCCGTGTAAATAGGCAACCCTACGTCATATCGGCAAAATATGCTGAACCTATATTCATTTCACCTAGACCTTCAAACCGCGGTGACAATGAAATGTGTTATAACACATGCGAAATTGGACTTTTGACCAGAAATTCGGCCAAATTTCGAATATTTAGTGCAAACAGAAAAAAAATTAAAATTGTAAGCCTTTGAGGGTAACCCTAAATTACATTACTGTCACAATAGATAGTTGACTAAAGGCTTGTTCGTTTGCTCGCCCTGCTGTGAGAGCCACTTTCAGAGAGAAATTTTTGTTTCTCACTAGCCCGAGATCGTGTGCGTGTATGTGTACGCGTGCGCGTGCATAGAGAAAACTTATTTCGTTTAAGAATTTAACGAAGAAATGAATGCATGAGAACTTCTCTAGGAATTTCATTTGATATTATACATATGTGTGAAGTACATGATATATAACGGGTGATTTTTTTGAGGTTAGGATTTTCATGCATTAGTATTTGACAGATCACGTGGGATTTCAGACATGGTGTCAAAGAGAAAGATGCTCAGTATGCTTTGACATTTCATCATGAATAGACTTACTAACGAGCAACGCTTGCAAATCATTGAATTTTATTACCAAAATCAGTGTTCGGTTCGAAATGTGTTTCGCAAACCCAATTGCTGCGAACGGCGACGAATCGACATTTCACGGTCTTCAGCAACACTCTCAGAAACAGACGCAATATTCTCTTCTGTACGCACTGTACGCATTCGTGTGGTTGGTTTAATGTCCAATAAAGTAAACTGAGTGCGAAACTTGGTCACAATCGCATTAATTGTTTGCTCACTTGGTCGATTATGTAGACCATAAATCGGACGTAAAGCGAACCGAACACTGATTTTGGTAATAAAATTCAATGATTTGCAAGCGTTGCTCGTTAGTAAGTCTATTCATGATGAAATGTCAAAGCATACTGAGCATCTTTCTCTTTGACACCATGTCTGAAATCCCACGTGATCTGTCAAATACTAATGCATGAAAATCCTAACCTCAAAAAAATCACCCGTTATATGATATGTGATATACATGATATATAATATACACATACATTCATTATGTAAATAAAGACGCCTAAACGTATACCACAAATCTGTTTCTTTTCGTGTTGTATCTTTCAATCAAAGAAAGAAATAATGTTGCAAAACTCATAAATTTCAACGGACAATATCTCAGGGTTTAAACAAGATATCTCGTTGAGTTAAACAGCATTATCAAGGGGAAATATTTTAATTTCAAATGATTTATTAAATTTTCTAAAAAAAGCGAACTATTATTTTATTTTCGTTTTCACATGTTTAGGCTAAAATATCTCGAAAACCTGAGCCAATCGAGCAAAACTGATTCTTTGGATAAGTGTAAGCTGATCCCAGGGTCTAAAAAATGTCGGCCTGTGTAACCGAACAACCAAACTGGTTTTCTTAGCGCTAATTTTGAATCAAGAATTCGGCCTATTACATATGTATGTACATATATCTAAATTATATTCAATCCAAACGAAAGTATGTACATGTGTACATTAGGGTGTTTTATATTTAGGCGATATTTTTTTGTCTGGCCTCCTAAAAATCTGATACTTAATAGAAAATAAAAAAATATGCCGTTTCAAAAAAATTTCAAGTGCATCACAGGCTTAGTTAGCTCTTTTAAAAATTCGATTTCTCATATAATTAACACGGGAATTTTTTTTCGGTTTTAAAATTTTTTCTAGGCAAAAAAGAGTGTACAATTTTTATAGAGCATGAAATTCGCATCAAAAAGGTTCTCTGAGCAAATGCCGTCCGACCAACAGTTTTTGAGCTATACAGCTGGAAATATAAATGTTAATAATAATTTACATACATAAATGTCTTTTAAGACGATATTTATTATTCTAACATTTTAAATTAACTTATAGTAAATACTAATTTCATTTCTGAGTCTGTGACAACATTAATGTTTACTTCTAAGCATCCGGAAATAGGGATGTTTCGATACAAGTAAATACGAGTATGTACTCGATACTTTTGTTTAGATACCAACTGCTTTTTTCACTCGAATCGTTGTTTCGAGACCTTCTTGGTATCGAAAGAAAAGTACTGGTATCGAATGGATTTTTCTATGGAAAATAATTGATTCGTTTTTATGAAAAAAAATTACTTTAAGGAATAGCACCGCCAAAATCTAAAGTGTGGATATATTTTACAAAGTTAGTTATACCACAGCAAAGTGCAAGCAATGATTTGTGGCCGTAAAGTTTTGTGGGAACCTTTCAAAGGTTGAATTTTCTCTCTAAGCGTATTACTTCTAGTGTTACTAATGAACAAATATACATATTGATACCTCAACTGAAAATATTTGAGATAGGGCGTTTTTGAACCGAATTCTGA